TAAAAATCTCATGCTGAATCAGTGCCAGCGACTTGGACCTTTCGACTAGACTGGGTTCACATACCTAGATCGATCTAACAGGATCGATCCATCTCCAAGGGGTTTCTTGCTAAAGTGCTTTCAGCTTAACCAGCTTAGATGTCTGGCACGCCTACTGAAGCTGCTGAACAATAATTAATTACCCCCTAGCAGCTTCAGTAAGCTGAAAGCAATTTAGCAAGAATCCCCTTGAAAATAGATCGATCTGCAGTTAGTACGATAGGGTCTGGGAATGGTCCCTAAGACAGCTACACAGTTAACCCCATTTGAACTCCTTACAAGTGCTCTCAATTTAAACAGGTCTGGTCATAATGACCCTGAAATGACCAGCTTGACAAGTAATGACCCAATGGACCTATAATACCAAAAAAAAAGGAGCAGACATTGGCTCAGTGCCAGCTGTCTTAAAAGGCAGTTGAATCTTATCTTAATACCTTTAATTCTACCTATATAAGATGATCATCATGTCCATCTCAGTGAAAGGGTCATCTTGGCCCAATGGTTGTTATTTTAAAAAAATGTGAAGCCAGCTTTCCCAAAAGATTGCTGTTGTCCTATATGTAGGACAGCCTCTACCTCTCTCTTTTCAAAAGCAAATGGTGACACAACATAAATTTTTAAGCAGGGGCAGATCCAGAGATATTTTCTGACAGTCTTCCAAATGATCTTTGTTGATCTGTCCTCCATTTTGACCGTCTTTCGACAGAAAACATTAGATACCCATCAATGTAAACTTGAAAATCTGACCGTCTCTCGGAAAACCCACAAGACAGCCTAAATCCGCCGCTGTTTAAGCTATAAAAAATTCCACTTCCGCATCATTTTGCTCTAGATTTTTCATCGAAATAAACTTCTTCAAGGTTGAGAAGTGCATTTGAAGCTCAGAAGGGATGGCACTGTGATATAACGCCCAATGCCACAACCGCTTCAGTTTCAACTTCTCAATTAATTTCCTCATGGGACAGTTTAGAAATAAATCTTTGTAGAGTACATTTCATGCCTTGCAATGGCCAAGGATAATTGTATTATGTTAGTTTAATTTCAATTCCTGTACAGCTCTACATAGATTACAATAACCTTTTACTATATAATATGAATTGAATCTTTTAGTACATTACCATTACATTATTGGTGTTTGCATTACCAGAAAACAAATAAATATACTATGATTAGAGACTGACAAGAAAGGGCAGATCAATGATAATAATAGTAATCATAGAATCTATAATGTCTCTCATGAAATTCCATCTTGCAATTAAGAGACCGTAAAAAGGGGAGACAAATTACGGGGTGAGCTATAATTATATGGACCTAAGCCGTAATAAATTGATATTAGAGGCAGGGGGGGGACGGTGTAGTTTTACTGGATGAAATGATACACACAGTTGTGTAATCCAATCATCCTTGACCAAGTGCGTGCCAGACACTACAATGACTTGAACTTTTCAATAAAGCAAGATGTGGAGCGATCTTAATGGGTATCATATTACATGTACCGTGGTGCTTCAGCCAACTTCAAGAAAAGTCAAGGGCAAAAGAAAGTGGAGCTCTGTTGTACGTCTGTTAATTTTGATTTTGAATTGGCTGAGAGGAAGTGAAACCCCCTGTAGCATACCGTAATTCCATGATGTGTTGGGACTATTCGAATTGATGCCCTATTGTGCTGCACTGATCAAAGTGATAAGGGCCTATGGCCGCATTCCCATAAAAAACCATCAGCCTGTGTAGATCAATCCTACTCTGCGGGGGACTCTCGCTGAGTGTAATCAGTTTTAGTGAATGACACGCCTCCTCCTGGTGTAAAGTAGAATACATAGAAGTTGATATTATGTATAAATGTATGTTGGAATAAAAGAGGAGGCATGTCATTAGTTCAGCTGATTGCACTCAGCGAGAGTTCCTGCTGAGCTGGATTAATTTATGTAGACTGGCGTTGTCCGAGGGACTTGGACCTATATGACCGGTTTCACAAAATGAGTGACACTGAAATTTAAAAAAAAAAAAAACTCATTTGTCATACTAGCAAATCATGCTAATTTGAGCTCTGTTGTATAGCTGTAAATTATGATTTTAAATTAACTTATCACGTTTTACTTTTGATGTTGAAAGTTCACAGAACTGCCCTGGCATGCCCCTCAGAGCTGCCCTGGCACGCCCCAGACCTTTTGTTAAATAACAACCTTTAATTGGCCCACAGGACAGTGTGGTCATCAGCTAATTTGACATTTAAGCCAATAAAACATGTCCAACTTGTCCGAATTGACAATGACCGGTGAAAAATGCATGCAAGCTGCCTTTTATACCAGGGAAATGGGTGTCATCATCTGTGTTAAGTGTGACAAGCTGTTGAGGCGTGGATGTCCCATGGATACGTGATCCAAACTTAACAATAGATATGAAAAAAAACTGGACGTATTGAGATTGAATGCCATTTTGAATTCTTTGTAGCTTGTTGTCCACCACACACAGGGGAGGGTATTTATACAGGCATTGTGTCAGCTTTAACCTGTAATATTTTGACAGATGCATACAAAAAAAAAAAAAAAATAGATTAGCTTACAGCTAAATTGCTCCACAGGTGTGCCTTGTTAATCTTTCAGTCAAATGTTAATGACTGCAAAATGTCCCTGAGGTAAAAGAGGGATTAGCTGTTTTTGACTTATGGCTGATTTTGGGAGCTGCAAATATCACTGGCCTAGGAGGCCCGCCTCTACCCCCACCTATATATTCTGACTTTGTCAATAAATTGCAGCCTCTACTCTGGTAAAACTTTAGGGTACTGATGTTGGCCACATCTTTTGCATTTATTTTCTGAACCCAACATTTCAATTTTTTTCATAAATTTCAAGAAAACCACATGAAACCAAATCTAATCTCAGGCCCATTAGGGGGTGGGGGGGGGAGATTTCAAACGAACTGCCTTTTTTTGCAGCTTACATGAAAGTTTCATGGGGAAAGGTCCTCTTTTTTTAGAAAAAGACTCCCCCCCCCCCTCTCTTTAGAATGGCTGTCTTTGGACCTGAACTTCAAACCTTAATAAAGCTCAATTTACTTATGCCGAAACCTAAGGGGCCTTGAGAGGGGGGAACGTTAAGGCACCTCAGGTGGGGGGCGAGATGTTTCCTACACTGGACATAACACCCTCATCTCTCAATTTCAGTCATGAATACAGGCCCGTAGCCATGGGGGTTTCAGGGGGTTCGAAAGAACCGCCCCTTTTGTCAGGAAAAGGTCCATTTTGCTAAAAAATTCATCTAGGTACACATAAATTTCATTGTAAAAGGTCCACTTTTTTAGAAAAAGAACCCCCCTTTTGAATTTGATGGCTACGGGCCTGTGACTACATGATTGGAATAAGTTTATTGGCCTCCCTTTCAATATTGAGATAAGGTAGAAAAACTTTGAGAGCATTGCTGTTCTTGTTTATGCCTGGTAACGTACCAGGTCTGGTGCTTATATAGGTTTATTGTTTCAGTGACAGCTGAAAGACATTAAGAATGGATTCAAAATAGAAATTTTTTGTAGGACATGAAATACTTGGCTTAAAAAATTTTAAAAACTGATGAATAAATAAAAAATAATGGGTTAGATCAACAAGATTTTTTTTTTTTAATGGGGAAACGCACTCTCATCTAGTGCAATGAAAATGGGGAGACATGAGCAATTGTTTGATCACATTTCTTAACATTATTGTGAAAAAGTCATGTTTTCAAATGGTCAGAAGAGGTTCCTAATCCTATTATGTAATAAATTAATCCAAATACTATTATATGTAATAAATTAATCGTTAAGTGTGTGTCCATGATAGGACCAGTCAGAGGGTGGCAAGGTGGGGGTCAACAGATTTCAACCAAATTCATAATATTGTTGCATATATAGGAGATATTAAGATTGAAGGCAACAATCCCAAAAGAAATCATTGGATATATTTATAATATGATATTATATGTTTTGGCCATTTTTGGCTTGATTTTCAGCTTCGGTCAATAAAGCCACTTCATAAGCAAATATGTCAAAACTGATGACTTTTTAAAATTAATTGAAAATTTACCTATTTAAACCAGCCATTTGCCATTGAGAATATGTTACTAAATTTCAGTTTAACCCACAAATTTACGAGCTACGCCCATTTTTATAACCCCACCCCCCAAACTCATTTTTCTACCAAGCAATGTTCAAGCATTCATATCTCTCTTTTTGCAGGGTTGACAGGCATAAAATTTTATAGGGATCCTAAGCATATATTGGTCTCATCATACAAAATTCAAAAAGTGTGTTAAACACAACAGAAGATATTAAAAAAGTGCCTCAAACTTTAGCAATTTTAGCAGAAAACCAAACATCCGAAATCAAGATATCAGTACATTTTGAGATAATACCTTCCAATAATCAAATTTAATCAAAGACTCACAGCCAGGAATTCAAACTATGCTTTGATAAGGGCAAATCTATCCAATTTTTATAAATACAAGATGGCTGCCATCAAATCTGTCCCAAAATACAGTTACCCTAATTCCTCAAAATAATCAAGAGGCCCATTTTTGCAGGTTTTTTATTTTGAGATCTGTAATACAGGATTGCTCAAATAATAGTCTTTTCAAACAGAGCCATACAACCTCTGAATAAATTACTAGTGACAAGTTATTCAACCCCCCCCCCCATTTAATAAGTTATTACTGTGCATATCCAATGTCATCAGCATTGTGTATATACCTTATTTTCAGGGAGCAATAGAGAAAAAAAAAATTACAATTGATTTTTCTAAAGGTAAAAGGGAATGACTGTCTCATTTTATCAGTTTTCTCAAGTGCAACACTAATTAATCCACTTGAAATGATTTATATTGCATTTTTCAACCATTCTTTTTCCTTTCAAATGATTCATAGGCTTTGTAAATACATGTGATTTCTTGATATTTATATTCTTTTTCTATAAAGAAAATTAAAACAGAGTCAGCAACATACAATGACAGGAGGAGTACTTTATTTTCATATTATCAATTGGACAGTAAAAGAACAAAGCAGTTACTTTTTACAGGAGTGAAATCAAGTTATGAATCTCCAAGGTTCCAATATCACGGTAATATTTTCCATATACTGAACACAACAGTGATGGGTAGTGTTCCACAGATTTTAATCTTATAACTGATTGATCCCCAAGTTTCTTCTTCTGGTTGAGATGTCCAGGGTCTCCTACAGTAATGATAATTCAGCAATCTTAGAATAAGTGTGGTAACTTGAAGCAACATGCCACTATAAATTAGTGTGACTGAACTGTCAATTGTCAATATTTGTCAATTCAATGGCGCCAATCCTCCTTTCCTACAAAACTGACTGAGATTGCCAAGCCTAAGATGCACATTTGTTATGGGGGATTGTCCCAAGGTGGCTCTAAGTCCAATAAAGGTTTGCCAGGATATCCACTACTGTGTCTACCTGAAGATGGTAGGACAGGCTGTCAAAAGAAAATGTATTTAACATATTTTAAACTAATGTTAATTGCTGTATAAAAACAATGACTAAAAAATATACTGATCAAACATATTGCACAAGTAAAAACAATGATTGAAAATGAAATCAAATATGAATGATGTAGCTACCAGAATTTCATGATAGAAAGACAGAGCTGGTACTCACATCTGAATCTGATGAATTTGCCTGTGCAATTTCAGGTGACTCTTCTATTATTGTCTGTAAGATTGTCCAGGTCAAGGTTTACATCCAGGCCTAGGATGTAAAATCTGAAAATAAACATAACATCAATAAATGTTTTACAACAACAAAGGCTTACTGTGTTCAGAATAGAAACTACCGTAGCAGGATCAATCCATCTCAGCGGAGTAAGACACTCAGGCTCAGTCGTTGTAATCAGCTTAATTGTCTGGCACACCCCCTTGCAAAGCAACATGAACAACATAATGGACTGCAAAGTGCTCCTGATTTTACTAAAGTACTTTTAGTTGTACAAGTGTTCTGTGTAATATGTAAGTCTTAAAAATTGAAGCACAGTGTGTTACAAAGTCACATAAAGCTACAAGTAGGTGGTTAACTTCAACTTCATTGTAAACACACATAAATCTGAAACTAAAACATAAAAAACTGGCACAAGTAACATCCCCTAAAATGCCAATACTTGAAACTGAATGTGTGTTACATACCTTTGATTCTGGGTAAGGAATTTCTAATGAAGCTGTCTACAAGCTCAGTTGTCCTTAACTGTTTGTGTTATGATAACACAAGTAACAAAGCCCTAGAATTTAATGCACAAACATACTTCATAAGTTAGATACACAGTTGATTCTTTTCAGCAGACATATTTACAATGAAATAGAAATCAAGTAAAATTCTATGAATTGAAATACACCAGTGCATCTTTTAATTCTTTATATTACTTTAAAATATTCAAACTTATTATTTAAACTGGTTTGAGTTTTTAGTGTATCTGATTCCAGTATATGTATGCCACCACTGGCCAACAACAGGGTAGGTTATTACTACATAGAAGCAAGGAGTTATAACAGATCTGTTATAACTCCTTGATAGAAGACAGTACCTGAATTAGTGACAGAACCGACTTTGTCTGTCTGTGTATATATATATATATATATATATATATATATATATATGATCACTTACCTTACAACAAACAACCAGAGCTAAATCGGTGAGCTGGATATATTGAGGAACCCAAGCCTGACAACAGTCTGAAGTGGTTCAACAAAAAATGTACATTCTAAGGACGACCAACTGCAGATATGGTCATTTCTTGTGATATTCTGGTGCACACCAATCCTTCTGAGATGTACCTAAGCATTTCTAGTGCGTGTTCTTCATAAAATTAAGAAAGCATTATGTTTTCACACTGTAAAGACGATGTGCTTTGCTCCACAGTTGCTCCGGTGATAATCCTAGTACCCGCCATGTTGAAAATAGGTCACAGAGTTAGCATCGTTATTTTACATTTAGTTTCTACAACATAAACAAATTTAAAAAATCTATTTTTGCTTCATAAGTTCGTCTGCAGGGCAAAAATAATTATTTTAAGGGCTTTTCACAAACCTATACATGGTTTAGACTTATTAATTTAGTTTAAGAAACAGTTTAGCATTTAAGTAGTTTAAAAATATTCGTTTTTAGGCCCTTTTTAAAATTTTTATAGTCCTTATTTTACAAGGTTTAACACAGATTTTATTTCACAAGATTTATTTTTCAACCCTTTTCTATCAGCACATACCAAAATTATATGGATACAACCTGCAAAAAAGAAGTTGTGTGCATTTAAAGAAGGGGAGGGGGTCAAGCATACGGAAAACATGCCTTATTAGAATCAACCTTGTGTGGTCATGACAGTGCCTTTTCAAAAAATCTGTACTGGGTATTAAAGGTCTTTCCTTAACCTATCATGTGGCTTACCTAAATATTTTCTTATGATGTACATGATTTTTTAAAAGAATATTTAATATTATAACTTTTCAAGAGCTAAAAAATGCTATATTTTGGCAAAATTGCCAATAAAAGATCTGCCCCCATATCTCTAAAACTAATGATCCAAAATAAGAAAGCCAGTGGCTCACAATATCTTTTATGTTGATGGTTTACCACACCAAAAATTATTAAAATCTGCTGACCCCCACCTTGCCGCCTTCTGACCGATCTGTCTGGCTTTCTCATGGACGCGCTCTTAATCCTAATATGTAATAATATGGAAATAATTTGAAAGAGAAATATATGAAACCTGTATATACCCTATGTACAGGCACAGGGAGTGAAATGTTGGAACAAAATAAAAATAATTTCAATTACTTTTCCTAGTTTTAATGTCTGACAGGAAATTTTCACACTTTAAGTCTCGATGAGTAGATATATACTTCCAGTTTTTTCAGGAAAATTCTAGAAATGTGTTAAATATATGGTGTTAGTTACATTTCATCCAATGACCATTGCTAACAGAATTTGCTTGATTGATTCCAATTATGTTTCCCCTATACCTTTTATCTAACAAAAATTAACCAAACTGTAAGACCCCATTGCCATACCTAGATCGATCTAGCAGTATCAACCCATCTCCGAGGGGTTTCTCACTAAATTACATTCAGCTTAAGCTGCTCTGATGCCTGGCATGCCTACTGAAACTGTTAGGGGATAATTAACTATCATTTACCCACTTCAGAAGGTTTGCCATACATCTAAGCTGCTTAATCTGAATAATATTTAGTGAGAATCCCCTCAGAGATGAGTCCGTCCTGCCAGATCGATCTAGGTATGGGAATGGGGTCTAATAAACACATATTCATAGATTTGATGTGCTAGCTTGATAATTGTATCGTTATAATTAATATACATGTTACTAATTGCAGAATCTACTAATTTACCTCTAAAAACTCAACTTTTTAATTTATTTCAAGATTGTAACATTTTTGAAAGAGGAGGTGGATAAGACATTCTTAAGATTTGAATTGATATTAAGTGCCAAATAAATTATTTTTATTACATCTTATACCACTGCAGTTGATCATATGTTAGTATATTCTCTTCTTCAGCAATGTTGTCCAAATTTATCTGACTTTTTAAACAGAATAAAGGATGAGGTTATTTTTTATGACTTTAAATGATATTTTTATCAGTCTTGGGCAAAAGTGGTTTAATTACTTGGCTACTAGTTATATGCGCCAAACATAGACATGAAAAATGGACAATAATTTTTTTTTTTTAATGCCATGTTGTTCCTCTGTAAGGGTAACATAGATGCATCTTGTGCAGTCTGTAAAGTTTCTTATTATTCATTTTATCATTATCATTATTATTATTATTTTATTTGAACTGATAGGTGATCGACATATTTTTCTATTGCCAGATCCCCCACAATGCCTGGTGGTTTATTTGCAGCTGATCGCAAATATTTTTTCGACGTCGGTGCCTACGATCCAGGAATGGATGTGTGGGGAGGCGAAAATTTAGAAATCTCTTTTAGGGTGAGACTTTGATTAATATATTTTATTACAATAAATACTTTATTTTCCTTCTTGTTCTCATATGTGCAATTGTATGCTGCTTATACCCCCTTTACACTGGACGGCGTCCTTTCTGCGACCATGAAATTTGGCATCGCTGTGGTCTAAATAAGGAGACACGAGCATTGATTTTGTATCAGAATGAATGCTCAATGATCGGCCAGTTGTCGGCACGTAGAGTATTATGATTTTTTAACTCTCAAATGGGTCCGTACTGCTGGACGCAGAAAGGACGCCGTCCAGTGTAAAGGGGCCCTTAGGGGATGCTAAAATAAAGGTCAGTATTGAAAGTTTATGAAATGGTTTGTTATTTTATGTGGACAGAACTTTTTTTATAACTTTGGTTGGGCTGAGGTCATTCAGGATTGCATGTTCTTTGTAATATTTTGCAATTTTGACACTTTGATTAGCTTGAAGTAATTAAGAGGTTGTGTTTACTCATCAGGTCTGGATGTGTGGAGGTAGCCTTGAGTTCATTCCATGCTCAAGAGTAGGTCACATTTTCCGTTCCAGTCATCCTTATACATTCCCAGGTTAGTTAATTATTCTGTCACAACCAACACATTGTCACACCTAACACAATGTCACACCCAAAACAATGTCACACCAAACACACTGTCACACCTAACACACTGTCACAACCAACACAATGGTACACCCAAAACAATGTCACACCAAACACACTGTCACTCCTAACTCAGTCACACCCAATAAACAGTCACACCTAACTCACTGTCACTCCTAACACACTGTTACTTTCAACACAGTCACACCTAACACACTGTCACAACCAACGCAATGTCACACCCAAAACAATGTCACATCAAACACACTGTCACACCCAAGACATAGCCATTCCTAACACACTAAATCATAATTCTTTTTCAAACCTTGCAATGTAACAACCAACAGACTGCCACATATGACACACAGTCACTCCTTGAATACTGTAGAAAGAAGATACATAACTTATATACAGAAGTCATGGACACCATGATCGTTGTACTGGTGGAACCTTTTTTATAAGCAAAATGTATTTCACAGAAAATTGTAATTGAGGACACTAAACTGTAAGTAAAGTGAGATACTAAAATATCTGAACAGTTCTAATGTATGCGTTTCTATCTTTCAGGTAATAAAGACACTCATGGAATAAACTCTATGCGGCTGGCAGAGGTGTGGATGGATGAATACAAGAGATTATTTTATATGCACAGAAGAGATCTGTTGGTTAGTTGTTGATCTGCTGTTTTATAAATAGATAGATAATAGATAGATATATTTATTTCATAATATAAATGTAAATAGAAATAGATAAATATTACTTATAGAGGATAACCCAAAAAGTGTAAACACTTATTTCATTGTGGTCTTCAATAATAATAATGATAATAATAATAATAAATAATAATAATAAACAACTTGAAGTTAATGTATTATAATTACAGTGTTTCATGTAGAATATGGCTGGTAAAGCAGCACCTGTTATAGGTGCTGTGTGAAAGGAGAACTATATGATGGTAGACTTATGAATGAAATTGAGTGTCAGGTGAATAAACTCCATGCTTGCCTAAGGTGCCATTTGTCATTTATAAGCCCATGCCTAGGGCCCCATTCAGAACAGGGGACTAACTAGTCCAAGGGTCAAATATGGTGACCCACAACAACTCTTGCCTTTTAATCCTCTAATACACGCATGGATATCCCGTGGGGAAGTATTCAAGTGGGTTGGCCATATTTGACCCTCAGACTAGTTAGTCCCCTATTCTAAATTGGGCCTAAGTGGTCTACTCTTTATGTAAAGATATTTCATGAAAGAGGTAATTATTTACTTAGATTCTTTTAATTTTGTCTTCATTTTCATCATAGAAACAAGACATGGGTGATATCTCTGAGAGAAAAGCTCTGCGGGAGAGGTTAAAGTGCAAGAGCTTCAGCTGGTACTTAGAAAATGTATATCCAGAAAAATTCATCATTGATGAGAAGGTCCTAGCATATGGCATGGTACGTCTCTCTCTCTCACACACACATATATATACAAAGTAAGATAATAGTTACTTCTCACCAAGGTTTTTGTTATGTGTTGTCAACTAACAGTACATGTAGATGAATTTGAAGCTGTTCAGTGATGAAGGTCACTCACATGCATGCAAGCACACGCACACACACACACACACACACACACATTACTCTCTATTCTCTGATGTATATACGAAATGATATTGTAATTTAAACAAAGTGAACTTTTGTTTTCAAAGGTCCGCAACCCAGGCAGCAATCTTTGTTTAGACACTATGGGGAAAGATGAGAAAACGAGGTTTGATATTGGACTGTTTCATTGTCAGAATGGTGCGAGTGCTAATGAGGTAATGATAATAATAATCATAATAATAGATAGATAGATAGATAGATAGATAGATATGCAAGAAATACATTTCTCAATTATTAGTCTTGCAGTGTCATTGCCATCTTGTTAATTGATTAATTAAATTAAGTTATATTGTAATACAATTTGTTTTAGGTTTTCTCGTTAAGCCAAAAAAATGAGCTCCGTAGGGAAGAAGCATGTTTAGATAGCGTAGGTGCAGAAGGAAGCAAAGTTTCTCTCAACCCTTGTCATGGCCATAAAGGAAATCAGGAGTGGCGACATCACAAGGTGAGATATTAAAATTGCAATAGTACAAGTTATTATTCAGTGACACTTAATTTGAACAAGAAAAATTGTCATATCTAGCACATTGTAATTATATGTCATTGTCATTATATATTTTTATATGTGACAGTTTCTATCCAGCATTTTGTCACATCTAATATGCTGTATTGTCACACATAACAGATTGTAATAACTAGCAAATGGTCACATCTGGCATATTGTTACATGTATTTGTTTGAAACACGCGTTAAACATAAATTGCAACTGATCTTAAGCTGCACTACTGGTGAAATGCAGTATTTTTGGTAAGGTGAACATTTAAGGTTTTTATTTGTATTTCAAATCAGTTCCATCCTAACGTTCTTTCTTTAAATTAATTAATTAATCTTGTTCAATCTGTTTGGCATACTACCCTATGCCTGAAATTCCAAGAAACACATTTTTAAAGCATTTAAAAATTTATTGATATAAGCATTTAAAGAATTTATTGATCCATGAAAAATTTCATAATAATATATACATGTTAAGATGGCAAATCACATCAAATCTAGGAGATGTATTCGATGTATCTTAAGGCTCTATTCCCATAGATTTTAGATCGATCTATCCCCATGGGGAGTCTCACTAGATTACTTTCAGATAATCCGACTTAAATGTCCGTCCCGCCTACTACAAGCTGTAAGGGGGTAATTAACTTTCGTGTCTGCCCGGCTGACAGCTATTTAGCGTGAACCCCCAGGGAGTTAGGTCGATCTAAAGTAGGTCGATCTAATCTATGGAAATGGGGTGTAAGTGATATGAAGAATATTTAGAAATGTTTTCAGACTGTTCCCCTCTTTGTTCCAGGACTCTGGCGTGATTGTCCATGTTCCCAGTGGTAAGTGTCTGGACGTCAGTGGACTCAAAAGTGGGGACAGCGTCCAGCTGAAGAAGTGCAATGGAGGCAATGACCAAAAATGGACCATAGAACACTACTTAGACATCTGAGTTTTGACAGTTTTTAAAGATGTGTTGAAAGTGGAATTTTTGTCACAAAACTCTGTTAGATGCCACCGTATAGTTTCAAATAGTAGAACTTAGGGACCATTCCCACAGATATTTGAATCGATCTATCTCCACACTAAATTGCTATCTGCTATTGGCGAGGCCAAGCATGCAAGAAAGTTAATTACCCCCTAGCTGATTAGGTAGGCGTGACAGACATTTAAGCCTCTTCAGCTCATGGCAATTTAGTGTGAACCCCCTGGGAGTTAGGTCGATGCAGATGGATCAATCTAGGCATGGAAACCCAGTCTTAGATAAATACCAAAAGACATATTTCATATTTCCCCAAAAAATATATATACCAACGAATTTTCTGCTTTGAATTCTTTCTGTGCTTTGAATATCCCTCAGCCGTCTCATTTGAATGAATATGCAATTGCCCACAGCTAGACATCCATACATGGAAGTGAGTGTGGTGACTATGCAAATTATGACCCAAAATTTGAAGAAGGTGCACTTTTTCATCAACTTTTTGGCTGAATGAGAGATTAATTTGGTTTATGACTTGGCATGTTCACTTTATTTTAGTAGTATAAGTAACTAGTCTGCATGCCTTAGTGGAAATCGTGGCACACTTTATATGTATCTTTAAAAAAGGGTTATTTTTTAGATTCAGGGACTGGCTTCACCAAAAAAAGGACTTTAAAACGAAAGTTGGTCTTAAAGTCTTGGTCAACTTTAATTCAGGATAGCTGGGTTCAGGTCCGTTCAAATATGATTATATCAGCGTTTCAAAAAGTTCACCTTGTCAACTTTTTATGAAACCTTAAAGTCAAGAACTACTATCAGTTTAAGTTCCTCTACCAACTGACCCCAGATAACGACCTTCCAAACTGACCAATGTCAGTTCTTTTGTACTCTGTGGAGTGGAGTTCATTGACGGACATTTCATGACCACATCTGCGTGAAAAATGTTAAGCGACACCATGAAGATAGCAGGAAAGATATTTCTGTAAATCTAAAAAAGACAGGTCGAAATTGTAGGCTTCACTAAAAGACTAATTGCTATGATTCCTCATTTATCAAAGCAGATCAAATTATTAGTCCTTAACTCTAGACCAGTTACAATTTAAGTTCCTCAGGCTGGCTGCCAACGACGTTAGACCCCCCCCCCCCCCCCCCCAAGTGACCAATGCTAGTGCTGCTGTACCGTGGAAATAGTTCGTTGACACCCTATCCAGCCTATTATTGCCTTTTAATTTTTCTGCCATTGATGGCCAACATGTAAAAAGAAGTGCACATGCAGTGAATATGCAGGCAAAGATAGTTTTCTGTCTAGACAAATTATAGAATTCCATTAAGACAATTAGTTTTTTTTAATTTTGATACCGTTTTATCTTCCTTGTAATTTTTTGTAGCTATGTTGAATATTCAATGCGTTACCAACTTATTGTCGGTAAACGTCCTATGGCAAAGAATTTGTGTAACTTAGTTAGATTTTCGGTGCGCTAGCTGTTTTTGCCAGTAAATGACGAGAAGTTCGACCATCGTAGCACATTTAAGATTTAAGTGAGTAAAAACTGAACTTATTATGATTAAACGTGTCATTACCAGGCTTTTGAACCCATTGGAGTTTTAACACTTCGTATTGCAATTATGTGCTAACTGTGAAGATTTTTTTCCCTCGAGAATTTGTCTTTGTTGAAATATGCAAAAATAATGCAAATAGCATGGAGTGAGTTTTTCAAACTTCAAAACAAAAAGTGTCAAGTTTAGATGCTTTTTAATTATTTACATATTTACAATTTACGAAATATATATGAAAGAGTCTTATATTGTTGTTACGCATATCGGTATCTTAAGCTATACTAATAAATTGGAGAATTGTAATAGCAAAATATCTTTGAAAACCACCCTTAAAAGTGGCAAGTACATTAAAAGTGATAAAAATTGAGAAGTGGAACTTTTAAGTAGGGGTGCTTTTGTACCCTACGCCCAGTAATCTATATAACACACAAAAAATGACAAAAAACGAGAACTGTTTAAACCTCATACAATTAATGAGGATATACATGTGCAGTACTCGTTCTACGTAGATGGATCCAACTCTCGAGGGAACTCTCGTGTAATGAAATTAAAATAACAGATTAACACAAGTGCTTTTGTACCGTGAAGATTGAGTTCGTTGACCGCCTGTTTGGCCTTTTATATCCTTTTCTTTCTTCTACCATTGATTGTCTGCATTGCGTTAAAAGAAATAGACACTGAAGATGTAGGAAAGGATAACGTTTTCTGTCGAGACAAGTAAGTTATATTTAAGAATGTTGACCAGTCGATTCATAGTAAAGAAATGACATTCGACAAGAGTACCCTGGACGGTTCGCTTGTCATGGGACGCTTATAGAAGTCCATTATTAAGACAACTGTGTTTTAACAATTTTGAAATATTTGAAAACTGACCAATGTTAGTACTTCTGAACTCTGTGGAGATTATAGACCACCATTCCTTGACCACATCTGCGTGAAAAATTCAAGCGACACCATGAAGATAGAAGGAAAGATTCGGCTGTCAATCTAGATAAAGACAAATCGAAATTGTAGACTTCACTAAAAGACTAATTGCTATGATTGCTCATTTATCAAAGCAGATCAAAATATTAGTACTTAAGGGTAGACCAGTTTTAATTTAAGTTCCTCAGGCGGGCTGGCACCGGCATTAGCCCCCCCCCCCCCCCCCCCCCAAGTGGCCAATGCTAGTGCTGCTGTACCGTGGAAACAGTTTGTTGACCCCCTGTCCAGCTTATTATAGTCTATTATTTTTCTACCATTGGTGGCCAACGTGTCGTAAAAAGAAGTTCACACTGAATATGCAGGCAAAGATAGTTTTCTGTCTAAACAAATCACAGAATTCCATTAAGACAACTGAGTTTTATTAATTTTGATACCGTTTTATCTTCCTTGTAATTTTTTGTGGCTATATTGAATATTCAATGTGTTACAAACTTTTTGCCGGTAAACGTCCTATGACAAAGATTTTGTGTAACTTCGTTAAAAATCTTCGGTGCTCTAGCTGTTTTTGTCAGTAAATGACGAGAAGTTCGACCATCGTAGCAAATTTATGATTTGAGTGAGTAAAAACTGAACTTATTATGATTAAACGTGTCATTACCAGGCTTTTGAACCCATTGGAGTTTATCACTTCGTATTGCAAATATGTGCAAACTGAATATTTTTTGCCCTCGAGAATTTGCAAAAATAATGCAAATAGCAAGGAGTGAGTTTTTCAAACTTCAAAACAAAAAGTGTCAAGTTTAGATGCTTTGTAATTATTTACATTTTTACAATTTATGAAATATATATGAAAGAGTCTTATATTGTTGTTACGCATATCGGTATCTTAAGATATGCTAATAAATTGGAAGATTGTAATAGCAAAATGTCTTTGAAAACCACCCTTAAAAGTGGCAAATACCTTAAAAGTGATAAAAATTGAGGAGTGGAACTTTTAAGTAGGGCTACTTTTGCTACCTACGCCCAGTAATCTATATAACAAACAAAAAATGACAAAAAACGAGAACTGTTTAAACCTCATACAATTAATGAGGATATACATGTGCAGTACTCGTTCTACGTAGATGGATCCAACTCTCGAGGGAACTCTCGTGTAATGAAATTAAAATAACATATTAACACAAATGTTTTTGTACCGCGAAGATTGAGTTCGTTGACCGCCTGTCTGGTCTTATATAGCCTTTTCTTTCTCCTACCATTGATGGTCTACATGGCGTAAGAAGAAATATACACTGAAGATGCAGGGAAGGATAACGTTTTCTGTCTAGACAAGTACGTAATATTTAAGAATTTTGACCAGTCGCTTCATAGTACAGANAAAATGACCTATTTGCATCTTTATTTTCTGTTTTTTGTCTGTACATTTGACAGCTTTGCTGCCTTGTTTTTAATTCAGGGACTGGCTTCACCAAAAAGAAGAACTTTAAAACGAAAGTTAGTCTTAAAGTTTTGGTCAACTTAAATTCAGGATAGCAGGGTTTAGGTCCGTTCAAGTATAATTATATGAACGTTTCAAAACATTTGTCTTGTCAACTTTTTATGAAACCTTAAAGTCAAGAACGACTGTCAGTTTAAGTTCCTCGACCATCTGACCCCAGATAACGACCTTCCAAACTGACCAATGTTAGTACTTTTGTACTCTGTGGAGTGGAGTTCATTGACGGACATTTCATGACCACATCTGCGTGAAAAATTCAAGCGACACCATAAAGATAGCAGGAAAGATATGGCTGTCAATCGAGATGAAGACAAATCGAAATTGTAGACTTCACTAAAAGACTAATTGCTATGATTGCTCATTTATCATAGCAGATCAAAATTTTTAGTCCTTCAGTCTAGACCAGTTTTAATTTAAGTTCCTCAGGCGGGCTGGCACCGGCATTAGCCCCCCCCCCCTCCCTCCTC